TCTGTTGTGTGTGTGGTGGTGGGGGTTGGGGTTGTGGGGGGGGGGGGGTGTGTTGGAGGTTGGCAAGTCCAAACTCTATAGGATGCACTGGAAGGCTGGAGGACCAGGGAACAGTTTATGGCCATCTGCGTACAGAACTCCCTTTGGCTTATGGATGGGCAGCCCTTTGCTCTCTGTAGACCCTTCAACTGATTGCATGAAGCCCACCCACATTCTGGGGACTATTTGCTTTACTCCAAGTCCCTGGATCTCAGTGTTAATCTGATGTACCCACACCTATAACAAATAGGCTGAGTAATGTTTTTCCAAGTGTCTTGGTACTAAGGCCCTGCCAAGTTGACACATAAAATTCACCATCACAGGACCAAAAGGGTCTGCCTGGATTACAGACTGCTGGGGTGCATGGAAGGAAAGATAGTCACAGACAGAGGTTTTAGGAGTGTAGGATTCTCAAAGCACAGTGTCCAGGTGGCACTCCACTCTGAATGTATGAGCTGGCCCCATCAGTTCACAGCCATGACAGGGGGTAGTTCCAGCTACCCTGGAGTACTTGAACAGGGACCTGTTTGCATCTCATCTCTTCCATTAGCCCCCCCCCATCTTCAGAGCTCATCTGATGTAAGTAAGCTAGCTACCAGGAGTGGTGGCTAGGAGACTAGAAGCTCACCACTGCCTTCTTCTCTGAGATAAGGACGCTTCTTGATATCTCCTACTCCCCAGAGGGAATAAAAATGTTTTCCTTAACTTCCTAGCACAAGTGGGGAATCAGCAGCTCAGAGAGGCACAGGCTTAGGTCCATGTCTCACAATGGGAAGGTGGTGAGAACACCCATTTCCCCCTAGTCTCCTCCATAGACCTTTCTCCTGCCTCTGTGACTACCTGTGACCATCAGAGGTTCCTCTGGTTTAAGCCAATGCTCTGTCAAAAGCCCCCAGAACTCTGCCACCCACCTCTGTTTTGCTACTGAAGTCATTCTGAAAGGATTTTTTTTTCAAATAAGAAATCCCTGTATGCAATAAAAGATATACCCTCTTCTGGGTGAAATACAAAGGGTTCATGGCTGCTGTCTCTCCCGTTTGCATTTTTTTCTGCCTGGTGATGGGAAGGACAGATAAAGATAATGGGATTTCTTTTTTTTAAATCCCCCCTCCCAGTTCTCTCCTTGGAAAGTAGAAGTATAACAAATTGGATTTCGAGCGAGTCTGTTCTCTGTCCCTGGTGCCTGGAGCAGGGCATGGGCCTGTGGGCAGAGCTGTGGTGAGAGAGGTCTCAGCCTGCAATTTTCTCTTGATACATGCATATGAATGCCAGGGTCACCTTCCTCCCTCCTCATGGCCACCACCTGCCTGTTTAATTCTGTTTTGACCCAGCACATGATCTGGAGCCAGACTGTGTCAGAGAATAGCCACCAGAGTTTGAGTTGGTGGTACAGCCTTGTGATCCCAGCAATGGAGGAGGCTGAAACAGGAGGATCCCATGTTCAAAGCAGGCATGCTCAGGCTAGCCTGGGCAACTTGTTAGACCTTGATTCAGAGTATAAAATGAAAAAACGAGAGCTGTGATGTAGCTCAGCCAGTGGTATAGTGCTGGCCTAACACACACAATCCCTGAACTCAAAAGTCCCCTGGCTAGGCTCCCCTTTGCCTCTCCTGTGACTAGCTGGGCCAGGGCACTTCATGGTTTATAAGATCTATGTTGCATTTCTATTTTTGAAATTGCTTCTCTTAAGCCCTGACTTTCATAGTTCAGTAATTTTTTACTTGAGAACTTGTCATAGGGTCTTCTTTAAAAATAAATAGTTTCAGATGGTCACCCCCCCCCCACACACACACACACCGGGATCAGTTTTCTTACTCTTTCTTGTGTTTTTTTTCAAAGGTCTAGGCATTGAATCTAGGACACTGTGCATGCTAGACAAACCCTCTATCATTGAGCTATGTTCCCAGACCTCTTTTTACTTTTTGTCCTGAGACAGAGTTCTCCACTAAGTTTCCCCAAGCTGGCCTGCAACTTGCTCTGTTGCCCAGGCACTTTTGAACTTGTAATTTTCATGAGCAGCCAGGATTACAGGCCTGTTGTCCAATCCTGTTAGCACTCACTCTATACCCACTACCCTCTCATAGTTCTTCCAGTTGCTTGTGGTCCCTGGCCCAGATCCTTCAGGGTAGTGCCTTTGCTGAGGCTGTCATGCCTCACGTGCTCACAGGTGTGCATAAGAGAATCTTGCTCCTCTTCCAGCCTCCCATGGGTTCTGTGTGATGGGACAGAGTACGCTTCTGGAGAGAGCCTGCCTCGGAGCCCACGGGGTGGAAGTAGAGGTACCTGTTGGAAAGTGGGGCCTC